CTTGTTACCACTATGACAAGATGTAAATTTCTGTGCCATTTCATCAAGAATCCCTGTGTTTTCTTTTGATGGGAAATAATGTCATTTTCACACAAATCTGACCATAAGGGTTTGTTCTTGCTTCTAGGCTATTTCCTTGGTCACATCTAGGAAATGTGCTGTGTGTGTGTGTTTGCTTGCACTGCAAGGGTGAAGATGAGGTGCTTTCTCAGCTCAAACTGATGCTTTAAGTTTCAGTTCAGGACTACAGAGTTTTTCCTTAATCTGTATTTTTTTAATGCCAAAATTCTCAGTTCACTCAACACCAGGAAATTCTGACATTTTCCTCTTTTAAAACAACAAATGGACTCCCTGGCCTTAGTATTTTGGGAGTAGAACATTCCATAAAACAGAAAGCATGGTTTTGAACCACACTAGCCATTGCTACTGATTAGAGAGAGAGAGAGAGAGAGAGAGAGAGAGAGAGAGAGAGAGAGAGAATAATGCATACAATCAGACATGGCCTTGTATTTAGAGTACAGATTCCAGCAAGTGGAGACAGCTCTATAAGGGCAAACAGGGGGTCGCCTCCTGGTAAGATAGCACAGACACTTTTCTAGGGTAAGTGTGTGCTTCAGATGTGTCCCAACAGATTAAAAGAACACCTAAAATCACTATTTTGCAGCAGTCTGTAACTTCAGCTCTGCATCCTAGATCTGTCACATGGGACCATCCAGGGCACCTGGGCCCCAATTCTTCCAAATCAGGTGTAATCTGCCAGATGAGGGCAACTGTATCCTAGCAAAGTGGGGCAGATTTGTCTGCTTAAAAGTATCTTTTACAAAGTGAGGGCTCAGAAACCTGTCACATCAATCAACAAAAAATAACTGGAACAGTCAAGCTTGAGGCTCCTCTGGATTCTGAACTGAAACACCACACACTTGTGAGGATTTGCTCAGCCTTGTTCTGAGCACAGTTCCAGGTCTGTTTCCAGTCAAGAAAGGTAATCTGTGACAGGAGTTCTTCAAGGGAATTCTGTGGCCACACAGGGGGAGATCCATGCTGAGGGCTGAGCTGGGGGAGCTCAGTGCAAGAGGAGATTTGTTCTTATTAACCTTTCTAAATCACTGACAAAAAAAAAAAAGCAACTTAGGAGGACTGAGTTTATTTGGCTTACAGTCCATAATGAAGGAACTTGAGACAGGAACCCTGGAGGCAGAAACTGAAGCAGAGACTGGGGTGGAACAATACTTACTGGCTTGTTTCCTGTCACTTGCTCAGCTACCTTTCTTTTACAGCTCAGGCCCATGTGCTCAGGGATGGCACCACCCACAGTGGGCTAGACCTTCCTATATCAATTAGCAATCGAGAAAATGCCCCCACAGACATGACCACGGGCCAATCTGATGAAGGCCAGTCCTCAGCTGAGGCTCCCTCCTCCCAGGTCATGTCAAGTTGAGAAGAGCTAAGCAACAGCAAGGGGACCACAACTTCGAGGGAACACTTTCTTCCAGCAGCTGTGTATTGAGTACATATCCAGGCCTCAGGACCACCTCACAATTAGACTCTGATAAGTGCAGTTTCCAGACTAGGATCAAGACTTCACTAACTCTGTGGCCTGTGGAAATGGCTAAAATATTTGCGCCTCAATTTTTCCATCTGAAGATTCTACCACAATCCCTGTCTCCAAGAGTATTTAGAGATAAAGAGCAGAGAGACCACAAAAGTGGCCAACACAGTACTGAGCAGACTGGGGCCTTCCACAAAGCCCACCTTATCTGCCCCAGGAGCTTTGCTTTACTCTGTGGAAGACAGAATGAGGAAGAGGGAGGGTGAGGCAGGTGGAGACGAGAAGTGAGAGAGTTGTGGAAGGGAATTGGAAGTAACCGGACAGACCAAGTCAAACAATTGTCTAAAGATGCCAAGGCCCCTGCATAATTCTGTCCTGCCCTGATACCACAAATGGGTTTGATTAGTTGGTTTATATTTAAGGATTTGGCCAGAGAGGTCACGGGTGATAGCTTTCGCAGATGAGTTCACTACCTGTGATTAGCTGTGACGCATGAAAAAATCTGTAGAATCTCGAGTTAGAATTTCTTAATTACAGAAAGCTTTTCAGCTGACGTTTTAAAGGGAGATGGTTCAGGGAGTCAGGGAGGAGAGGTGAGTCAAGAGAGTGCATTGAAATGTGAGATGTGAGGTTCACCAACGAGGAGAAGGATGAGAGTGTCCCTTCTCCAACAGGAACGGAGTTATCCAATGGAAGAGCATTTCTTTGGGAGAAGCCTGCCTCTGCCCTTCTCCCCTTCCCTTATTATTTGACTTGGCAAGCTTCCCCATGAACTGACTAACAAATTCCCTTTATATCTCCCTTAGCCCAGCCTCCCTTTATTACACCATTTTACTGCTTCTCTGGGGCTGAGACGCTAAAATTTGGGTCAAATGATACATTAAGTTAACCACTTTAGAATACCAATAACACTCCTGCAGCACTTTTCATCTTCATGGTGGGCCACAAACATCTCCTTCCTCACTAATGAAGATGACTTGAATATCCAAAGCATCTAAAACTGTAGCTAGTTAATCATTGTCTAATGTGAGGAAGTGAGACAAAATGCAAAGCCAACAAAAAAGTATTACTGTAAACTTGCTGATTCAACCCTTTTAAAAATTCTTGAACACACAGCAGAACTTGAATACACACACACACACACACACACACACACACACACAAGAATCCCAGTTTTGTAATGAAAATGCCCATAAGGATAGGGATGATTTTAACTTTCTATTTCACAAGGTCCTTTTTAGAAATTATTTCATTTGATCTTCATGAAGACCCATGAGAAGAAAAGGAATTATTTATTTTCAACAAGACTTATTATGGTTAATTAGTCAACTCAAATGTTAAGTTATTAAATATTTGTGCTGAGACTAGAATCCCAGCTCAAGGCTCTAAATGAAAAGTTCAGTCTAGAAGACTTCCCACCTGTGATCTGTGGAGAAGGAAAGTCCCACCAGGCTGTCTCAAAGGAAGAGTCGGGGAGTCAGACAACATGCTTGGTTCCCAACCACTCGAACAGCCCACAGTGTAGTATCATGTCTGGGCCTTCCATTGTGTTTCCACAGTTCAATCTCACTTCAGAAAATGCATTCTTCCTCTATTTCTCATGATCCAGCTAGGTTGTGGGCCTCATCCCAAAGTTACACTCCCTGGACCCACAAAACTTTGTTCATGGGCCAAGGCAGTTATATGAGCTCTGTTGCTTGCCTCCCCCTCACCCCATCCATCATTAGCACTAAGTCGTCATTGTGACACTGTAAGTATCTGTTGGTCTTTGCATGAATCAACAACACTCTTTTTGTTCAATGTAAGCAATGCTTAGTGTATTTTCTACTTTACAGCTGCTTGTTTTGTGGGTTGGTTTGATGCATAAGCTTATTTGTACACATAAGCATAATGCTAGCTATACACTAAAATAAAAGTGGCCATTTCTTCTAAGGGGAACTTAAACCAGATAAATGCCTCATACCAAAGGACTACAGAGTTTTAAAATGCTTTTAGGTCCAAACTTGTCACATGTCTCCAGGTCCACCCTCCAGTGTCACTTGATTTTCATAAACCCACCTTGAAGATCCTTTTCCTTTTTCATCCTTTAAAATTTGGCTCAAATGCCACCTCCCATAAACTCTTTGCTGACAAATCTCTTTGGGTAGGCTCTGTGACTCCTTCTTCAGTCTGCCCCTGAACTTACAGCATATCTTTCCCTATATCCAGGCATGTTATAGATACATAATTTTGTGTAGTTGTTGAATGTCAATTTAGTTCATGTAATGATCAGTCCAGACTCAAAGGAAAAAGCACTAATGACATTATCACTCAATTTTAAAAACCAATTTGTTTTCCACTAATATTCACTGAAATACGAAATGCTTTACTTTTGGCTTTTCAAGACAGGGACTCTCTGTGTAGCCCTGGCTGAACTGGAACTCTCTCTGTAGACTAGATTGTTCTCAGATTCACAGAGATCCACCTGCCTCTGCCTCCCAAGTGCTGGGATTATAGGTGTGTACTACCACCACCTGGCTGATGCATATTTTCAGTGGTCTTATAAATTGTCTAAATTTTGAACAAACAGAAGAAATTTCATTCAGTCTATACGTTGTTTCCATGGATCAGGCATGGTAGACCATACCTGTAACTCCAGCCTTCTTGAGGCAAAGAGAGGAAGATCGAAAATATAAGAATTAGACTAATTAACAGGACCCTATCTCCAAAATTTTCACTGGAAGTGTGAACACTTGTTTCTATGGAAAAGTATATTTCACGTTCAACACACATAAAAGAACATGTGAAGGTTCATCCATAACCGAGGAGGGTTCCCCTCTAATATTTGACACCCTGTCTACTATGAAATTGATGAGCTCTGTATCTCACTTAGAAGCCCTGCCTCCTCATTTCCCTGATACCAGCTCTGTTTCTGCCTTCAACCCCCTGAGATTTATCCCATTTCAAGAGTTTATCTCATTTTCTCCATTCTCCATGGTTTGTGGCTTAGAGTGTGGGTCTTTGTTCTGTTTCTTGTCTGCCTTGAATCCATTATTCATGTGACTAGTTTGCCCTGGTGCACCTCGCTCTCAGGGGACGAGCACTGTGCTCTTCCCATTGTGATGTTCGAAATGTGGTTTCAAAGCACGTCACCGAGCAGTGGGGGCATTCTTCAGCTCCACATCGGAGCAGCACCTCATTTCCCATCATTCACCATCTGAGCTCAAAGCACACAATGTCCAAATTTCAGGCTTCACAGCTTCTTTTCTCTCATGATTCTGTTTTCTGTTCTTCTCTCCAGAGATGAAGAGAAATGAGATAATTGTGCCAATAAAGCATCCTTTTTCGTCTTCATTGTTCTTCTCTGGTGCTTCATTATGACGTGTCAATTATTCAACACTCCAGAGAGCTGTCTTTGGAGCACAAAATGGTATAATCATATTATATTAAAACGTTTGGTTTCTGCTTTTAGGCTACAGCGGTGGCTGTGTTGTCATGCGAGGAGGAAGTCCACTTGGTCGCTGGGAAGTAAAGAACTGTAGCAACTTTAAGGCAATGTCCCTGTGCAAAATGCCAGTCACACCCTGGGAGAAAACAGAGTTTGAAAAAAGGTGGCCCTTTCACAACTGCTATTTGGATTGGGAATCAAAGTCAGGTCTGACCAGTTGCTTCAAGGTAATGCCAAGGTTATCTGCATATTCATTTGGTTCATATATCACTATTTTCTGTATTCTAAGACTGCCTTCCTACAATGCCTGGTACACAGCATATAAACAGTTACTATCTATTGCCTCTCTATCCTTACCTTTATGTTCCAAATAATTCTAAATAGTAAAAAAGATGGCAGATATTCCCTAGTGTCACTGAAGGCAGAAATACCATGCATCAATATTAAACCAAGGTAAAGGACCCTATGCACTGGTTACCAGCCCCGGAAAAAAAACTCTGAATGCCTGATCAGTTCCTAGAACTGGTGGGAGATTTTATACAATCTCACTTGACAGAGTTCAAGTCCAGGATGGCAGAACACTCCCACAAGTCAGGCAAAACAACTTTACTGTTCACAGATAGGCTACAAGAAACAGTGGAAGCCTAAGATCCTAGAGAGCCTGTCCCTCAAGACTCAAGAAAGCTACTCAGGGTGGCAGATGGACTCTTCATCCTGCAGCACAGGGATTAGGAAAGCACTCTTCTCTGGGCTTTATGCCTCGCAAGCCACTTAGGTTCACTGGAATAAAACACTGCAAGACTCCCTGTTCTGAGAGGGACAAGGACAGCTCCTCCTTCCCTCAGGGTGTTGCATTCTCCATACATTCTGGACTAGAACTGCAATCAAGAAAGAGCAAAGCTAGCCAGGCATTGGCGGCACATGCCTTTAATGCCAGCACTCGGGAGGCAGAGGCGGGCGGATCTCTGTGAGTTCGGGGCCAGCCTGGTCTACAGAGCAAGTGCCAGGGTAGGCTCCAAAGCTACATAGAGAAACCCTGTCTCAAAAAACAAGAGAGAGAGGGAGAGAGAGAGAGAGAGCAAAGCAAGGCCAGCCATGGTCATTTACAGAATTGTCTTCATATAGTAAGTACAAAGGCACCAGTCAATGCTTTTTATATTACCAAGCATATACCAAATAAAGGAAGCCAACACTCAGTGGGTATTAGAATGGTGCTGTTCTATGTTGTCTGTAAGCCCATGCATAAAGTACTTACTAGGAAATAACTCTTATACATCAAAGCCTGCCTGCTAGACACCTAAAGACCAAACCCAGATATATATATATATATATATATATATATATACACATATATGTTCGTAGAGCAAGAAGAGTTGGGATTAAGGTGTTGAAATATTTACATATACATAATACCTTGGGGTTTGTACATAAGTCTAAATACAAAACTCATTTGTTTCATATACACTATGTACACAGAGCGTGATGGTCATTTTATGCAGTGTCTGGAACATGAAATGGTCTACCTACTTATAACAGTCAGAAAGTGAAAATGTCACTCTCACAGAAGTTTCCAATTTTAGAGTAGCTCATAATTTCAATTTCCAAATTAAGAATGTTTAACCTATATATGAGATGTACCTATGATATACATGTGAAATCCTTGAAGAAATGTCTGTTTGCAAATCAGCTTTAGATCCTAGATTTCAACCAACTCTTACAATCTTCTTATTAGAAATACCCACTTTTTAAAAATTACTCTTACATTTGGTAGTTTTCTCTTGGTTCATTCTTTGGGTAGCAATTCTCCAAATGCATGGAAAAAGTTCTTCACCATCATCTGGGCACACACAGGACTAAGACAGACCATATTCCCCAGACACTGCAATGCAGATGTAGCAGGAAATACAATTGAATTCACTCCACTTAAATGTATACAAGAAATCCCTACATAAAATTCATAAATAAAAGGCCCAGACATGACCTCATGGAGCAATACGTTAAACTTCAAAAACAAGTAAACTGAGGCCAATGTGATGAAGTAATTCAACCAAGAACACAATTATTTATTGACAGATTTAGAATAAATCCCTGGTCTTGGGACTCCCAGTACAGTGTTGTTTTACTATCCATCATCCTGATGTGTCAGCAAATGCACAGTGAGCTTGATGTGCGAGGTGGTGGGATTTATGAATTTAGAGTGATTCGGGGATGGGTTCCCCAAGGAAGCAAGTTTTGACATATAATTTAAAAGATGGAAAGGCTGTGCTGTGGTCCACAAGACTTGGAAAAGCATTCATTCTGGTCTCAGCAAATCAGAGCCTGGTGAAAGCTGGCCATAGAGTATCCCTGCAGCATCAGGGCATAAAGCTTAGTGGCCTTAGTTAAAAACAGCAAGGATGCAGAGTCCCAGGATTTGGAGCACTGGGTCTTCAGCCACCTCCTGTCTGATCTAGAGACAAAAGCACATGCTCCATCCAAGCAACTGCTTCCTGTTACCACAACAGCTAAGGAATAGCAGAGAATTCAGATACACACCAAGGGGCTGCCAGCTCAGCATAGACCCTAGAAATATACCTCCTTTTTAGGCCTTGGGTCTCCTTGCCTGTGATGATCCAACAACTTCATTGTAATTCCATGAATTCTAACTTGTCCATAGGTAGATGCCATAATGAAAATGGATGGATTCTGGAGGCAAGGAGTCCTGGGTCTAAGCCAGGTTTATAGGTGTATGACCTGGTATTCTTAATGTCTCTTGACCCCATATATTGGCAGACATTTATTAAAAGGAAACACTATGTCTGTCATAAGACATTTAGTGAGAAAGAAGCCAAGGAGAGTAAAAGGAGCCAACAGTTTTATAAGGAGTGGACATGTTCTAGTTTGATACGTGTTGACTCTCCCCATCAAAATTTCAGTAAAGAATAATGAAGGGGTGGAAATCTGGCTCAGTGGAAAGAGTGTGCACTCACTATGCAAAAAGTCATCCACTTCTTGCCCTTCACCACCCCGCCACACACACACACACAATGAAGAAAGAAAACCATAGGAAGCAGAATTCAGCAGCCTTGCTCTAGTTTTGTTGCTCTACAGGTGTTTCACAGTGAAAAGGTCCTAATGAAAAGATCATGGAGAGAAGCCGAAGCTTTCTGCGAGGAGTTTGGAGCTCACCTTGCAAGCTTTGCCCATATAGAGGAGGAAAATTTTGTGAACGAGCTTCTACATTCAAAATTTAACCGGTAAATACTTATTAATTCTGAGAAAATTAGAGTCAAAAATTGTCTGCTAACAGTGGCTTCTTAGGGATGAATATCCCAAGTAATTGTTTAAAACTTACGTATTTGTTTCACGTCTAAAAATAGTCAGTCACAGCTTATGAAAGAAAGCTATATCCTCATATGTGGTTTTGTGTTTGTATGGCACCAAGTCCACATTGCATATTGGATATTCAAAATCTTTTGTATGCCTTCAGTGAGATTGTTAGAGCTGCCAGCACTCTCTAGGTGGACTTTGGAGTGTTGTCTGAAGATTCTTGGGCTCTGGAAGGAAACAGAACCATTTGGGCAGAGCTTCCATTCCTTGCTTGCTAGCTCCCCAGAAAACACAATTCCATTGCACTGACAAGGGTTTTCCATAGATGCCAATCCAGTTACGATTTTGTTGGAGAAGGAAGTTCTACCAGTTTAAAACACAAGCCAGTCCATCTCTCTAGTTGTACATTTGAAGAGATCCATGTTCACTTATCGGTGTGCATCAGTTGTTAGAATGTCCATGCTCATGAAGTTATTAATGTAGTTTGGTTTTTGTTGGTTAGTTGGTTTACTGGTTTGTGGGGATTTTTCTTCAAGTGGCCAAACCTAGGACCTTGTGTATTCCACCACTGAACTAAATTCCCAACCCTACCAACTAAGTTTAAATTGGAAGAAACCTAATGTCTTCATAGGACACTCCCATAACTGAATATGTAACAACTATCAAATTATTCATCTTTAACATTTACAAAAATGACCCTCCAGGTAGAGCAAATGGGAGTCTTAGTGTAATTCCATAAGGAAAGGATTTTGTGGTGGTGGTAGGTGTTGTTATTGTTTTTTGGGAGGAGTTAGGGGATATAGTATCAGAGGGATCAAATAAAACTGAAAAACAATGGACAATATTAGAAATATAGTATGTAATTAACATTGTGAGGACTCCTAGCAGAAATCTTTTTCTCTGCAGAAATGCTTTTTTTCCCTCTTGAATAAGCTTTTTAACATCCCACAGAACTGCTAGTCCCTACAGGTTCCAGACAGAGCCTATATACTGGGCATCTTGGGATACAGAGCCTTCTATGCCACCTCAGACTTTGTGAGGTGTGGCTGCTCTTGGCCACTAAGGCTGAGTATTGGGTGAAAGCCTGGTGATTTGGGTGAACAAGACTCCTGGTCCTTTTCTGAGAGAATGTCTCCCACCTTTATTGTGGAGCAGCCTTATATACAAACTTACAAAAACCCCAGGCCAGAGGGTTCACAACAGGATATTGATCCCAG